GGCTCTCGGGAAGGTTTTTTTTCCCTTTCCAGCATATGGCTAAGTTGGAAGATTCAAATCCTCAGCACACGGACAGCCAAGATGCAGCAGAGCCAGGTGCACGGATATTCGAGTTTCACCTGCACAAACACAGATGTTTTTTCCCCCCCTCCCGACATTCGCCGACGTGCTGTGCGTTTTAGTCGAAGCAGTTGCATTTATTTGCAGGCTCCGCCGATCACTTGGTGTGAGCCGTGGGTCTAGAGCCGAGGGGAGGGAACGCAGCGGGGGCTGCGGAGGGGCGAACGCTGGTCCCCACGCGGAGGGGCCACAAGATCAGCTCCAGCCCCACCGAGGGTCAGGATATGTTGCTCAGCGCGTCTTGGGGCAGCTCCCCTTCCTGATAACCCCTGCCCCGACAACGCAACACAAAGTCAGTAGTGAGTAGTGTCCGATGAGGTATTTCTACAGGTTTTGAAGCTTAATTATTAGTTTCATCTGGAAGCCAAATCCTTTTTAAAAAACATATTTTTTTCTCCAAGACCAAAGCTGAGGCCAGAGGGGATGATGAAGAAAGGGAGGGCAGGATTTGTTAGCACCCTTCACAGCAACGCTTGGCAGAGGCAGACAATCAGAATTTTTCCAGGCTGCTTTAAGATCCACATGAGTCTGTCCAATTCAAGGGCACAAGACTAAAGTCCTAGCAGCTCCTGAGTGACTGCAGCCGGCTCGCAGGGCACCGACCTTGGATCCAGAGACCCCGGCCGCACACAGCATCGCGTTTTCAGACCACGCAGCGGCAGGACGGAGCGTTTCCTCCACTCGGTTTGCGAGCACAGGAACAATTCCTCATTTAAACACAGGAGGAAAGATGCTTCTCCAGACTTCTCAGCATCACTTCAGGCAAACTTTAAACTTCACCATGAAATGCAAACTCTTTGCAGTTGCTGCAGTGGATGAAAGAGCAAATCAGGATTTGAAGGGGTCGGGGGGGGTATTTCAGCCAGTGCCAAGCCCAGAAACACAGCAAGAGCTACCACCTCTCTTGGCTTTACTGTTTCTGAACTGCTGTGGTTCCACGGCCATCCCAGGGAGAGGAGGAAGCAGCGAGCAAGCTCACAGAGATCAGATGCCGTTCCAGGAGAACCCTCAGTTACCGCTTCTTGCTCCGAGTCACCCCAGAGATGCCTCTTAACGCCCCACCAACTCCTGATCAAGCTCCTTCACAGCTCAGCAGAAAGCCACTTCATTCACAGCTCCCGGAGACAGCCCGAGAAAGGCTCAAAGTGCACGTCCGACGGCTCTGCGAGACCGGCATCCCTGTAGCAAGTACCTTTGGTCCGTGGACTGCCGCCAGAGTTACCAGCAACAGCTTTGCCACCTTCCTTGGTTGGTCTCTCCCAACCAAACCGATTCTGTGATTCCTTCCACTTATCACAGGGGTTCAGCGCAATCTTCCAGTGTTTGCTAAGGGGACGATGCCTCCTCAGAGGAGCAGCCCTTGCTCCCCAGTGCAGCAGCAGCCGTTCCCTTTGGCAGAAGGCTCCACGACATCCAAACGGCTCACATGCTTTTCCTTCCTCACGCCCAACTTAAAAGCATACAGGACCACTCTGCAAAATCCAGTTGCAAAGCTCAGCTGCCCAAGACGAGGTTTGGGCCTCTTCTCCTAAATCCTAGAAAGCAGGGGAGCTGCGCAGCTGCCCGCCGTTCGGAGCTCCACGCTCCCCAGGGGTTATTCCAGGTAGCTGGGTGTCATTCTGGCTCAGTCTGCCTCCAGGCAGCCCCCCGGCTGCATCCCCTCTCGGTGGGGACCAAAGAACAGTCTTGCCGTAATGCCTGGAGCAGACGAACTTCCTAGAGAGTCCCCTTTTCTCTCTACCTCTCCCCACCTTGAAGTTTCCAAGGGAGGATAATAAAATTCAGCTGATCATAAGACAGTATTTCTCATGCTGAAAATAAAATCTAAAAAAAAAAAAAAAAAAAGACGACATCAAAAATAAAACTTTCAGAAAGTTGTAAATAGTGCCACGACATTCTTTGTTCTGCAAGGAGTCCGCGAGCTGGGCTCGGCTGTCTCCGAGACCCCTCTCCCTCAGCCAGGAGCTGAGGCTCTTGTTCCCGTTCTGCTGTGCTTCTTAGGAGTCTTGAACCCTCTTCTCTGTACAAAAGAGCCTGAGAGCAGAAGCGGCACCGCAGAAGCGGGTTTCACCATCGCGTGCCTCCTTCCCACCACAGCCTGACTTGGGCTACAGGATGGCAACAATCAAATTCCTAGTGGGGAAGAGAGAGGGGAGAGGGATCAAACAGCCCGCTTGTTCCCGTTCTGCTGTGCTTCTTAGGAGTCTTGAACCCTCTTCTCTGTACAAAAGAGCCTGAGAGCAGAAGCGGCACCGCAGAAGCGGGTTTCACCATCGCGTGCCTCCTTCCCACCACAGCCTGACTTGGGCTACAGGATGGCAACAATCAAATTCCTAGTGGGGAAGAGAGAGGGGAGAGGGATCAAACAGCCCGCTGGATGCGGCAGGATCTGCCCCAGACTGCAGCCGAGAGCGAGCACGGGCTTGCGTGGGCACAAATACGCACGAGAAAGTAGCAGAAGCCTTGTTCCCCCCCCCTCCAAGGAAAGCTGGGCAACGGTAAAAGACCATGGAGGGAATAGCCATGGCTTCTTCGGGAGGCGTTTGTGTTTCCTTCGCAATCAGAGGGAACAGAGCAATCTACGTTTGACCCCACGGGACGGGGCAGGGACCACCGGCACACACGTACCATCAGTGACAGCAACAAGGTGGGTGAGGCAGCCTCGCTACGTGGAGGATTCGGTCTCCTGCTTCTGTTTGGAGATGAGCTGAGCTTCCTTCAGCGACAGATACACCTCCTCCTGCGGGTCGTAGTAGTAAAACTTGCGGATGTATGAGATCAGGGGTCTGGGGAAGGAACAGGCAGAAGCTTTAACCCCGAGTCACGACCATGCCAACCTCTGCAAAGGACAACCAGAATGTCTCCCCCAGCCCACCCAGCAGCGTCACCTCCAGCAGGAGCAGGAGCCTGCTCCCTGGCAGATAACAGAGACTCGGTCTGGTTGGAAGAGACCTCTGGGATCATCGAGTCCAACCTTTGTCCTGACACCCCCATGTCACCCAGACCATGGCACCGAGTGCCACCTCCAGGCTTTTCTTACACACCTCCAGGGATGGGGACTCCACCACCTCCCTGGGCAGCCCACCCCAATGCCCAACGACCCTTTCTGGATGAAATGCCTCCTCATTTCCAGCCTGAACTTCCCCTGGCGCAGTTTGAGACTAACACCTCCCTCCCGAGCCGGCCACCTCTCCCACATGCATCCCCACACACCACAGGACATTTATCGTCCTGTCCCAAGGCTGAAGTCACCTATTCCCTCCGCGCTGCAGATACGGACACCTCCTCATCGCCTGCTGCGGCAAGGGTCAGGGAGGAAACCAGAGAGACTCGGCCCCAGGCCAGTCCTCGAGACTTACTTGGGCAGCGGGAGCTCGGGGATGTGGTCTATTCGGACCAACTGCCTGATCCGAAAGCGGCAAAGGTGCTGAAGGGATTTGACATTGCTGAACCTGGAGACGGGATACAGGAGCTGGACAGGCGTCGGAGGGAGACCTTTGGAAAAAAGCAATATTGGAGACAAGTGTTATATTAGAAAGGTACCACTAGGGATTCAGAAAGGAAAGTTGGCTCTTTGGAACGGGAGCAAGGCTGGGTTCGACAGCGCATCTTCCCAGGAGCCCACTGCTTCGGAGTCGCTTGGGACTGGGGAGCCAAACCTCGCAGGGGTGAGACCCCTCTGGCTGCAAAACATCCCCAGCCTTCCTCACAAGGCAACCCCAGTTCTGCCGTCATGGGGTGACTGTGGAAAAGCAGATCCCGGGACACTGCAAGCTCCCCACCACCCTCCTCCCCCAGGCTTAGTAGTCAAAGCATCACTTCATACTGAGAAGCGACCAGGTTTTGAAAGGAGGCAGAAGAAAGCCAAAGGAGAAGGCAGGCAGCGTGACCCACACGTAGGCTTGGCTCTGCACAACCCTTCGGGTAGTTCTAGCGAGGCGTTGGAAACCTGGGGGATTTGGTCAGCTCAAGCTGCGTCAGAGTTGCTCATTCTTGGAGTCACGAGGCTGGGCACAAAGGCTTCGCTCCGGCCAGCTCCCCACGCAGCGAACAACCTCGCAGGGCTGAACGCGAAGCTGCATCCAGCCGTCCCCCCGCCCCACAACCTCCTCCTCCCCCAAAGTTGAGAGCAACAACCGAGCCCACAGGACCGCGAGGTCGGCCGGAGCACCAGGAAGGATCTGGGGGAGCTGGGTTCATCCACAGCACGAGGTTTCATCTGTCTTTACAGAGGACTCAAAGCACTAACTCACTCTAACCCCCTCCTGCTGGCTTGTCTCTGAGGGCAACGGAGTGAAAGGAGAAGAGGGAAAGCTCTTCACACTAAGATGGGTTCAAAACTGCTCCAGGCAGCTCAGGATGCTGTGAGCCAGCTTTTGAGAAGGCAAAGAACAGTAATCAATTGAAGGCTGGATTCTTCCCCCCTGCCTTATTCTCCTACCCAAAAGGAATTAGCCTCCGGGAGCTCAGCCAGCCGCTGCAGGGACGAGACACGAGCTCCGCACGCCACGCTCGCCCCGTGCCCCGCTGCCCGGAGCCAGATGTGAGCTGGAAACAGCCCCCTCCTCTGAGCAGGGGTTAACGTTCTGGCAGGAGAACAGCACTAACGAGCACACTGGGGAGATGCAGACCCTAAATGTTCTCCCACTAAAGATCAGGCATCGGCGTGAGACCGGTTTTCGAGGATCGAGGGGCAGCGACTCTGAGAAGCGCCCAGGTCCAGCTGGAGAGGTGCAGGACCCGGAGCCAGCAGCACAGCTGGCTGGCGGCGCAGAGGGGGGGACCAGGCAGCAAGGGACCCCTCAGCAGGTGCCCAGCACTATTTTGGGGGGATATTTTCTTTTCTGATGGTGTTTTTCTAGAGCAAGTCCTTTCTAAGGTATTTGTCTGGAGTCCTAAGCCCTCAAAGCCCTGTTCCTGAGGGGAAGAGATCTCAGGATCAGGAAGGTAAAGTATCTTTAAGTTGAAAGGATTTTTTTGAAGGGTACACTGCAAAACCAGCTTTACATCCCTCTCCTCCTCAAAGCACAGGCACGTTATAAATCAGCTTTCCAGTTACTGGCGGTGTCTGCAGCAGAGGGCAACACTGAACAGATCCGGGCTGCGGCTCGGGCGCTGCTAGGAACCCCGAGAGGGTACATCCCATCCCATCCCTCCTCCTCCTCCTCTCCAGCCTCTTCCAGACCAGAAACTCTTTGGGTCGCATCCTCTTCACACTGCAGAGCCACGGAGAGATCGCTGTCACCATCAGGGCCGCCAGGCGCGATGGCAATATGGATAGGGAGCAAATTTACTATAATTTCACTTGCAGATTTACCGCAGCAATCTTCCCTCTCTTTTCAGTCCTGCCCGTTTCTGCCTCACCGCCGTCACCTGTCTCACCACAGCAGCGTTCCCATTCC